ATAAAAAGCCCGAGGGCCGTGGAGTTTAGAGTGTGGCCAGCAGAGAGAAGGGGTGGCCGGGGAGGTGTGGGTGCTGGAAGCAAAGGGAATGGCGGTTGCACCATGCAGCTGCGCTACCCTGCTGGGTTAGCAGTCCAGGCCTCTCTCAGCATCTCCGTACTTCCTACAGCCACCTGCCCGAGGCCCCAAAACAGGCTACCTGTGCTTGTGTCCGGAGGCTGCAGGAGGACACTCAGGGAATTCCAGATAGGAACTTGCTGACATTGCTCAGTGACAGCCCTAGCACTATGGTTTTAATGGCCAGGGTCCTTGACACAGGACCGTGGTCTCTCGTGTGTATGGTTTTCTGTGCTGTAGTGGGACAGCTTGCAACCCCCAGAAGAGATTTCTCTCTGAGTTTGCCAGTTGCAACAGCAGAAGCACGTTGAGGATTCTAGCACCCTTTTACCTGCTGGCTGACAGAAGCCCGTCTGGGTCTCAAGCTTCTTCCCCAGCCGTATCTCCTTGGGTTCTCTTCTGTCATCATGGCTGTCTTCCCCTTCGGCTGACGTCAGACTCTGCTGCCTCCTGTAATTTTCTTAATTGCTTTCTCTTCTGCCTCAACAATGGAAAAGAAAACTTTGAGACCTCATATTTTACCAGGTGGTCAGGCTGGAAAAGAAAAGAGGCCCCAGAGCATCCTGAAGGAGGAGACGCTTTCCTTACAGGACTGCCTGTGGCTCCAACTGCAGTCTGGAATCACCGATAGAGAACACTGGGTTGGGATTGGAGGAATGAGCGTGTTTTTGAAAATAGGTATTATTTTTATATGTATGGTGTTCTGCCTGTCTGTACATGTGTGCACTCCATTCGTGCCTGGGGCCTGTGGAGTTCCAGGCGGTTGTGAGGCACTGTGTGGGTGCTGGGAACTGAATGCGGGTTCTCCTCACAGCAGCTAGTCCTCTGAGGCGCTGAGCCCTCCCTCTAGCCCCAGGAGAGAGCGTTCACCTTGGGCCGCCTCTGTGTTCACCCCTGCACCGTCTTGCACATTTCAGCCTTGAAACCACAGAGGAATTTTGTCTCTATTTGAAGCGCTATGACTCAGGTCCTTCTGGCCAAGCTCTTGCTAGCACTGGGATGCGGGGCTATGGCGGCTCAGTTTCCTGTGGTCTCTTCTGCTTCTTTGGTGCTGGCTGCACCGAGAGAAGGAAGAGAAACTTTGGGTCAGCAAGAGAGAGAAGACCGTGAAAGACTCTTGGGGCTGGAGTGGAGATGGCTAGAAAGGCAGCTTCAGTTTGCAGAAGAATAAGAACAAGTTGAGGATGTGCTTCTCTAGCTTGCACTAGGCCCTGGGGTCCACCCCTAACACCTCCTAAACCAGATGCACGCCACACCCTGTAACCAGCACTAGGGAGGCGGAGGCAGGAGGATCAGAAGTTCAAGAAAACTCAGCATTCTCAGAATAATACTGGTTTCTGGAAGGGTTGTCCTGGTTGGTGGTAGCAAGTGTTGCGTCCTCAAGCCGTGGAAAGTGTGATTTGGCCATTAGGTCTGTTGGTATTAAGTGCTCTCATTCTGCCGCTGAAGGAGGCGTGGCTGATTGCAGGCACAGCCGTGCTGTGTCATCATTGGGATGCATTTGTTTTGTTGTTTTGGGCCAAGAGTAGCTAGATATAGAGGCCAGATGTTTGTGTGCACACACGTGCGTGTAAATGGTATGCGTGGTGTTTGGAGAATAATCCTTGAACTTCATTCTGCTTCCTAATCTGCCAAAAAGAGGCTCCCCTCTTACTGGTTCTGAAGCACGACCTTACTGCGTTCCCTCTCCTTTGATTGCTTGCCAAACTGACTTACTCTCCTAGGTGATGGCGCAAAGCCCAGGCAGAGGATGACAGGTGTTGGGTCACTCCGCTGACCATGATGCGCACAGCCTCTGTCACTTTCTTTAATCTTTCTTTTCACCACCTCTTCTGGGGCCGTAGGGAAAATAAGCCACCTAAGTGAGAAAGTACCCGGGGCTGACAGTGGCTGGAGACTCCCTGCCTGCTGAAGAGCCAGTTCTCAGTTAAGGCCTGCTGTTTGTACTTGCACGGGTACCTGTGTGGGGGTGGCAGTGGATTGGATTTGCTGCTGAACCTGGGCTGGTGTGTTAACGTCTTACATGAAGGCTTCACAGATGAACTATTTCAAGGTGTGAATCTAAGTGTGTAATAACAGACCTGGCAACCAATCACCTCATTTGTCTCTTAAAAAGTTCCGTATTACAGCTCCACCAGGTGGCCGCTAGCAGCATGGATGAGAGTTGGAGGGCGAAGCTGCTCTGAGAAGTTATTTGCACACGTGTGGAGTTGAGGACATCCCATGAGGTATAATGAAGGGCAAAGAAGGGAGAGTGTTTTGAGCCGTGCAAACAAAGCAGACCCTCAGATCTCTGGTGCACCTTTGGCATAGATACTCAGATGCCATGAGCAGTTTGTAAATGGCTTCGCAGAATGGTCCCCTTGTTTTGTTGTTCCTGTTTGGTTGGGGGGGGGGGGGACAGTGAATCTTTAGGTGTAAGGGTGTGCTGTCTTGTGGTCATACTCCAGAGTGGCATAGACTTGTGCCCATGTGGCAAGTGTCAGCATTTTGAGGAAGCAGGAAACATAATCTGGCTTCAGCTTCGGTTTCTGCTTCCACACGTAGTCTCTTTTTCCACACTGACATTGATGATAGGAGCTGGAATCACACAGTTTTCATCTTCTTCCCCTCGTTCTGCCTTGGCACAGATGTGATAACAAAGTCCTTCCCCACTTTTCTGGGCAGTCTGACTAGATGTGACATGCTAGAAACAGTCAGCGCTGCTAAGGAGAGTGGGCTGTTCTCTTTTGAGGCAGTTCGAAGAATAAAGCAGAACCCAGGCAGCTACCAAAACATCAGAAAGTAACATCCTGGCTTTTTGATTCTATTCCCATCCGAGTTTAGCAAAAACAGAAAGAAATATTCTCCCATTTGTTTTTATTTGCTTACCTTAAAAACCCTTATTAAGATACAGTCTGTGCAGCATAGTTTACCTGTCTCAATGCACACCAGCCGGTGCTTCTTCATATTGCAGCCCCATAGTCGGTCCAGATGGTCATGGTCACAGTTAGCATGTACTTGCAATGTAATTGATTGTATTTTTTCATTGAAAAAGTGTAGGCCCAGGTAGATGGCAGCTCTTAAGTATGGTACTTAGAAGATAGTGGCAAGTGGTGGGACTTAGTCCCCTTGGTTCTCCTCTGCCTCTTCCCAGTGCTGCCTTCTGTACTTCTCCTTTAGAAGCTAGCCAGTTCATTGTTTTAAATTAGCCAAGAATGAGGACCCATTTCATGTCTGCTCCTCCTACCCTTTCAAAGTCTGTTTCTGTGTTTGCACTGTCTCCTGGCGGGGGTCGCCTGCCTCCCTTGTGCTATTGACATAATGGGTTCTGTTGGCTGGGTGATAGGAAGCCTGAGAAACTTAGAGCGTCAACTTGGACTGTGAGGGAGACTTGGATCTAGGAGTTGTTTGTTTGTGTTCTCTATGAGACACTGCTGTGAAATGAAGTCTTTGATAGCTCACTGTCCTCTTGCATGCCCGCCTGAGCTGTCACGGTGCACATTGTAGCTGGTTGCTATGGGATTAACACTACGTAAAGGATTATAACAGAAAACAGAAGTGAAGCAGAATTGCCAGTTTCTTAAAGAGGTAAAGGACCCGTTTTTATGGGTACAGATTTTTCCTTTAAGAGTAATGACTCTGATTTGGGTGAAAATGTCAAGAAGGGCTGGAGAGATGCCTCGGTGTGTAGAGCACTTGCTGAGCAAGCACCAAGAGGAGTGCTGAGCGTGAGGAACCGTGCCAGGCATGGTTGCGAGTGCCCCTGGAACCCCTGGAGAATCCCAGGCCTCCTGGACACCAGCTTGGCTCAAGGTTTGATGAGAGACCCTGTCTGGAGGGAATAAGGTCGAGAGCGATAGGACAAAGCACCTGATGTCCTCCTCTGGCCTCTGTGCGTGTGCACAGGCTTGCACAGATGCACACACTTGTGCACATGTACCCCTCTCATTGTCCACCTCTGAATGAAGTGAAGGTGGTAGGGATGGTGTGGGAGCTGGGAGCTTGGGCGAGAACAATTCCAGTCGCCTCTTCTGTTTCTAAATGCTGTATGGTGCTGGGACCCAGAGTGTTCCCACGGCTGCATGACCACAGCTCTGGGTTCACCCATTGATTCATCTTCTGCAGTGAAGGCTTTCTACCTGCATGGCACATAAATTTTTGAGAGCTTTTTTTTAAAAAAAAAAAAAATGGGAAGCATTTAATTTGTTTTGATACGATTTTAAATTTGCCAGAGGTGTTTCTGTCAAATAAGGATTTGGGTGGTGTTCAAAGACTGAACAAGAATGGATATAAATAGAATTGGGGCCATTTATCAGTATCTATTATTTTGTTTCATTAACTGAATTAATGTCTAAGCATTTAGCCCAAGGAATATATGCAGCTCTATTTTATTAATGGCTTAGCCTTAATTCGCTCATCCTCTTAGCACGCAGTAAGTGCAAAGTAGTTAGGAATTCTTGTAGTCATCTACTTCCCATGGAGGACTAACGTAATAAAATGAACATACCCTCGTTCTTTCTCTTCTTTTGGCTCTTTTCTGGATATTTATCAAAGTGCTCACCATCCCGCCGGCTGTTGTTTAATCTAGAGCTAATAAATTTTGTCTTCTGATAAGGAATATAGCCCAGTGGTACAGCACTTAACAAGTATTGAGATGTCCTGGGTTTAATCCCCAAGATTGCAAAAGAAAAAAAAAAAGCTGATTAGTTAAATAACGTCACCATTGTTTTTTTAATGAGGATTAGAGGAGAACAATCTCCTAATAAATTCAGGGCTCTTTGGACTCCTTGTATAAAGGGAAGCAGCTGAGGCTCCAGGTTAATCTGGTCATCTCACTAAACAAATTGACCAGTGTGCATTGGTTTTGTGCCTTCCCTGGTGATACTGTGCTGTTTGTTCAGATATCCTAGGAACAGAGGATGCTGTTGTGGAAGCAGCTTCCAGCGAGGCCGTGAGGTTCTACCCCTGGACCATCGACAACAAGTACTATTCAGCAGAGGTCAATCTGTGTGTGGTGCCAAGCAAGTTCCTGGTCACTGCTGAGATCGCGGAGTCAGTCCAGGCGTTCGTGGTTTACTTTGACAGCACACAGGTAAGCTCTTGTTTCCAGTGGGGAAACACCACCAGCCAGACTTTGTCCTGTGCTTTCTTTCTCTCCTCTACGTTCTCTGAGTTCCTCGATGTGTCTTTTCATTTTTGCTTGTGTCTGCCCCTGTAGAAATCGGGTCTTGACAGTGTCTCCTCATGGCTTCCCCTGGCAGAGGCATGGTTACCCGAGGTGATGATCCTGGTCTGTGATAGAGTCTGTGAAGACGGTAAGGGTCTCCAACATGTGCCCTTTAGTGAAGACAGGGTACTCCGTGTCCTCAGCTCATCTTGTTACGCTGTGAAAATCCTACAAGATTTATATTGTTTTCAGTATCCTTTGAGGCTGAGATCATTGTCTCTATGTAGCTTAATTCTAGATGCCTGTAGAATGACATTGACATCCGGGGGAAACACTGAGGCCAAAGGAGAGTGTTGAAGGTTCTTGGTGTTTTATGATAGTTTTACTTAGATGCTTTTACGTGTTGTTTTAGGAGTAAACCGGCAGAAGGCTCAAGAGTGGTGCATCAAACATGGCTTTGAGCTGGTAGAGCTCAGCCCCGAGGAGCTGCCTGAGGAGGATGGTGAGTGGTGGTGTCTACAGGAAGCTGGCTTTGGGTTGAAGTCTAAGGGATTGTTCCAGCCTAGGGTAGGGGGATCACAGCAAGAGCCCAGAAATGCTAATGTCGCCAGCTGTTTAAAAGACTTTGAGCAAAACCAATAGTGCCCCACCAGCACTGCCATAGATTGCCTGATTTCATCATCGCTTTAGAACTTTTGAAAATCCATGTGTGTACTTAAACAGATAAAAGTAAGAGATCACTGTTGAAAACCATTGCCATTCCCCTGTCCTTAATCCACTGCCCGCCAAGGATAGTGAGACCTGTGTTTGTGGAGTTTGTTCCTTCTTTTTCTTTGGAATTCATAGTAAGCGAAGGCTGAATTCCCAGAAACCTCAGGAGGCATGCCAGACCTATTGATACCCAAGCCAGAAATAAACCCAGGGCCTCCTACTCCCCTCCCTCAGGGCAGCTGCGCATTGCCTTCTGCTGCTTCTGCAACCGTCTGGGCCTTCAGTTTCTTTTCTTTCTTTTTTTGGTAAGATTTATTTTTTATTTTATGTGTTTAAATGTTAGTCTACATGTATGTCTGTGTACCACATGCATGCCTGGTGCCTTAGGAGGCTGGAAGAAGGCATCAGATCCCCTGAAACTGGAGTTACAGATGGTTGTGAGCTGCCGTGTAGATGCTAGGAATCGAATCCCAGTACTCTGGAAGAGCAGCCAGTGTTCTTAATTGCTGACCCACCTTGCCATTAAAAAAGGAAAGGAAGGAGAGAGAAAATTGTTACTTTTACAATTTTATTTATGTTTATGTGTCAGTGTGTTTCCAAGGTCACAAGAGAGCATTCATCCCTTGGAATTGCACTTCCAGACAGTTGTTAGACACCTGAAGTGGGTGCTGGAAACTGAACCTGGGCCCTGGGCCAGAGTAGCCAGTGCTCTTAGCCACTGAGCTCTCTCTCCAGTCTTCATCTTTTCTCTTTCCAAGTACACCTGTATGAACTCGATCCAGCTGGGGCAGACTTTGGCCTACAAGAATCTACGTTCACAAATAATTGAGTTTCCTAAATGAAATGTCCCCAGACCAAGAAGGAATGTGGTGTTCCCTAGATGGGGATATTCCTGTGTATGGTTTGGGGAGCACTTGGCACCCTGACTTTAATGTATCAGACTCTTCATGGGAAAGAAGTTGAAAAGGTACTGGACTTGAAGAGACCTAGTGGAAGGAGCCTGTAGAAGATACAGGCTGTCCCAGGAGACATTCCAGGCAAGGAAACCGTGTGGATGGAAGTCCTAGGTAGGACAGGGTGAGGATGAACTAGGGAAGCAGGTCTTCATTCCTACACTCCATAAAGAATACCAGAGGTTGGCAAGTGAAATAGTCCCTTCCATACTTTCTAAGTTCCCTAAAACTTGTGCCCAACTCGGTGTACATGAACGTGTATAATTTCTTACTTCTGATCTTCTTTTCTTCATATTGTCCTTGGAGTCAACTTTGACTATTGTAATCTTGGAATTTGCTCCTTTCTACCAGGGAATTGCTCTGCAGACAGTACCCATGTTTGATTTATTTGTGTGTGTGTGTGTGTGTGTGTGTACACATGCACAGATGCAGGTGCTCACATGTCCCACAGCACACCTGTGGAGGTTGGACATTAACTTCTTGGAAGCAGGTTCTTTTCCCACAGTGGACTCAGGGTGGGGATTGCGGTCATCAGGCTCACAGCAAGCCCCGACACCTGCAGCGCCACCTCACCAACTCTTAATTCAGTATAGTCTTAAAACAGATTTTTCTGAGATGTGTCATCTTAGAGCAAGGTAATAAAAAGTGCCTTGGATTTTTAGATACAAACTGCTTCAAAGCCACATCTCCTCATCCTTCATTCGTGGGTACTTTGCGCGCACCCATTCTTTTATCACATCTTCTCACTGTTGCTAGCTCTCTGGTTAATTGTGTTTTGGGTTCCTAGGTTTAGTTAGTGTCTTAAGTATGAGTAATTCTTTCAAGAACTGCATCCTCTGTAGTTAAGATGAACATGGCATTTTGTCCTCATCCAGACAGCAATGGGATACACGTACCTTCATTGAGTATTTCCAGTTTTATCCTCAGTTAGGGCTGCCAGGTTGGTAGATGCAATTCTTCAGATGATTCATTGGCCATGAAATACTGTCGGCTGTCACTCAGGCGCTGTCAGGCAGCAGGATGATGAACTCAGGAAGGCATGGTTCCTGCCTGCCTGAGCCTCCAGTATAAAGGGGGAATGCACCAGTGAGTCCCCAGTACCACCATCATGCCTCCAAGAGAGGTCGTCAGAGTGCTGCCGTCCCCGCTGCTCTCAGAGGCTAGTGTAAGAGCGCTGCCCTTGACCAGGTAGTAAGTGGTCAGTAATTGACAGAGCCTGGGGTCAAGTTCAGAGCTTCTGATGTCAAACTCTCTTCTTCCTATTTAACCCAGACCAGGCTAGACCACTAGACAGGAGTTCTGTAAACTCTTCTTGCTCTGACCCACCACAGGTAAATTGTTTCTTTTATCACTTTCCACCTGAAGTCTGAAGCACCTGTGCTTACTGGACACAGTGATGCCTGGACTGTAGTGAGAAGCTGCATTACTGGCTGCTGCTGGAGAGTAAGGCCGCACCGTTTTAAGTAGACCACCAATCCTAGAGACAGGGTGGTGCGAACTCTCAAGCCGTTGCTGCTTGTCCTTTTGGTCATGTTGTGGTATTGGACTAGGAGCCTGGACTTTGCTTCAAACCTCAGGCAAACATTCTGCTTGAGAATCTCCCAGCCTTTTTTTTACTTTCTCTTTTGATACAAAGTTCCACTGAGTTGCCAAGTTGAGCTTCAGCTTCTGTTGCCCAGGCTAGCCTCCAATATGAGAACATCTCGCCTCAGCCTTCAAGTAGCTAGAATTAACAGGCTTCTTGAGGCTGCTACCAGTCCCAGCTGAACTTTGACTCCTGCCGGCTTTCTCTGATGAAGAGCTAATAGGTAACAGGTGATAACAGTCTGCGGCGGAAGACAGCATCGTCTTACACAGAGAGTTGCTTTGTGGCACACAGAGAGGTCTTCCTCCCAGGGATCAAACTCAGGTCACTAAGCTTTTTCACACACAAGTGCTTTTCCCCATGAGCCATCTTACTAGCCCCTGGAAATTCATCCTGTATAGCTAGCCAAGATGAGAGAGTTGGTTTCATTTTTTGAAGATTTACTGTTTTAAAGGGTGTGCAGGAAGGTGCATCCCTGGGGCTGGAGTTACAGGCAGTTGTGAGCCTGCTACCATTGCAACTCTCTGGGGCTGGACTCCAGGAATGGTGAGCCACCAAACATGGATTCTAGAAATTAAACTTCTATAGGGGCAGCAAGTACTCTTACCACTGAACCGTCTCTCCAACCCCAAGATTAGTGTCTTTAATGCTACACTGTGGTTGTTTAATAAGAGCTTGCGTTTTCTGGAGATTGTGAGTGGATTCTCTGGGTGAAGAGATGGAGACAGCTTGATCACACAGTGCTCTTCTGTTGTGACTGTTCGTATCAGGAGCTCGGTGCTCTGTGTTGCTTTATTCACTTCCTTCTGTACACAGCACATTAGGAAGCAACAGCCAAGTAAACAAGATGACTAAACCCAGTTATTTAAAAGTATGCCTTTGGGACTTATAGGCCTGTATATGAATGTGTGGTTTATCTGGATATATACAGACCTGTGTGCTTCTCTCCCTGGCAGATGACTTCCCTGAATCCACAGGTGTAAAGCGGATTGTACAAGCGTTGAATGCCAATGTCTGGTCCAATGTTGTGATGAAGAATGGTGAGTAACTGGATGTTGTCGTTTTTACTAAGTAACATGTTTTAAGTTATCTGAATCTATGTGGAACTGTTAGGATTCTGTGAAATTTTTGTTCTCATTCTCAAGTTTTCAGTTGAAGGAAGAGCCAGAAGTAACAAGCTGGGACTGTGTAGTGTGCTGAATAGGTGTTTCAGCAAGCATGTAAATGTTCCAGTATGCCTCACATTGTTCTGGCTTTAAGAACAACCTAAGTTTTTAAGGTATGATCTTTACCATTGAGGTGCTTCCCATCTACTGAGCGATCCTTTGTAGTGCTCTCTGTCCTGCCCTTTCTGGGCGTTTTATGGTAATGGAGTTTGTGTGTACTTTTCACGTGCTGGGTGTGCAGGCAAGGGGTGCGATGAACACAGACTCAGAGACATGACTGCTGCATTAGTCCTGATGCAGAGAGAACTTCCAGAAGAGCATGGGTTCCCGTACCATTCTTCATGGGATGGGAAAGATGGAAAGGGGAGAATGCTCAGCTGGAGGATGCATGGCTCCAAGAACAAGGATTTTATGTCATAAAGACCCTGGGAGAGTCTCACTTAGCAGTGGACGCTCCCGTGGATATTGGAACATGAGGCAAGGAGATGTGGGCTTTCTTCTTTTTTTTTAATTCTTTTTTGTTTGTTTGTATTTATTTATCTATTTATTTATTTGTGGGCTTTCTTCTGTAACAAGTCTGAGACCCTGGAGGTGGGGTCTCTGCAGGGCTGACAATAGTGATATGTTGGAGGTGGGGGGTCTCTGCAGGGCTGACATTAGTGATGTCTTGGAGGTAGAAGCAGAGTCTGAGGTTAGGGAAACCTGAGCTGATGCAGTCTCCTGGGGGTGAGTGTCGGCCCTGAGTGTTGTGATGGCGGCTGTGGGGGTGGAAGCCTGGGTATGGCATGCAGTCTGTAGCTGGTTGGAACCTGCTCTTGGAGCCTGCATTAGCTTTCTCAGCCTTTGGGAACAAGCTCACAGACTCGATGGCTTAGGACAGTGGGAATTTACTGCCTCACAGTTATAGAAAAAGGTCACAAGTCCTACCTTGAGGTGCCAGGGCCACCTCCCTCCAAAGGTGCTGGAGGATTGCCCCAAGCCTTGATCTTGGCTTCTGTGAGTTCTTCAGTGTAACACTCTATGTCTAATCTTCCATGGTTTCTCCCTGTGTATATGACTTTGTACATATCTCTTCTAAGGCCAGCAGTGATACTAAATTAGGGCCCACCCTATGGTCATGTGACCCATTTTAACTTCCCTGTTTCCAAATAGAAGTGCATTTTGCTGTATTAGAGGTTAGGACTTAACTTTGAGGTTTGGGGAGCTGCAATTCAAGTCTAGAGTGTAGTACCTTAAAATATGTGCAGGGTTGGGTGAAACTCCACAGAGGGAGTGAGAAAAGCAACATTTACAGCAGTTGTAGCCTGTCTTCCCTGAGGTGAAGGGCAAGTGAATGGCCAGCTTGGTGGGTGCATAGTGCTTCATCCCAGCTGTTAGTTGACACTGAGGATTAAGTATGGTTGGCACCCTGACGTCTGATCTACCCCTTGTGCTTGGCAAAGCCCCTTCTTGATGATAAGGCAGTTTCCTCTCTCCTGTCTTTTCCTGTCTCCTTCATCCTCCCCACTTGCATGTTAGGAGGACTCTGGCCTGTCTGATGGGGCCTTTCCTTCTCTTCACACATCATTGCTCCGTCACTTCTCTGTTGAGCATTTCTTAGTAAGCTACTGCTTTAGATTGTGTACAGTATAAAACTAACTTTTAGATATGGTCCATAAACTAGACCAATTTAGAATAAAGTTCTCTTCTGTACTGCCTGTTAGAAATTTCTTGAAATAGCTAGAAATTTAGTGAAGCTTTTTTGGCTTAAATCATTCTTTGAAAACTCTGACCCCCCCCCCCCCCCATTTCATACATTAAAGAAATGTTGGCTTATAATTCACATTTATAGCTGTGCAGCCACATTGTAGCTATGGCCTCCGTGTCCTTGGAGTTAACAAACCACAGATTGGAAATGGTTAGGAAGAACATGGCTATCTGAATACACACACACACACACACACACACGCACACACGCACACACACACAGCAGTGTAAGAGGGAACCCTCTAGTACTTACATGGTGTTAGCGGCCGCAGGCAGTGAAGAGAGGGGAAGGAGCATGGAGGGATGTCGAGCTCACGCCAGTTCTGTAACATTCTACAGCAGGCACTGGTTCTGGTATTTGGGAGAGTCTGAATATGTAATCCTCAAGATGCACTGAACAATTTTGCTTCTGTCCTGGTTGTTTTTTGTCAGCTTGACCCAAACCAGGGTCATCTAAGAGGGTATTCCCATGTCCTCTGTGAGAACATTTGGCCCATGAGCAAGCCTGTAGGGCATTTTTTGTTTGGTTTGGTGGTTGATGTGGGAGGGCCCAGCTAATTGTGGGTGGGGCCACCCCTGGGCAGGTGGGCCTGGGTTCTATAAGAAAGTAGGCTGAGCAAGTCATGGAGAACAAAAAGTAAACAGTGTTCCTCCACGGTCTCTGCATCCATTCCTGTCTTGAGTTTCTGCTCCGACTTCCCTCAGCTACAACTGTAAGCTGAACTAAACCCCTTCCTCTCCAGTAGATTTGGGGTTGGCATTTATCACAGCAGTGGAGAGCAGCTAGGACAGTTTCTTTGTGTGGAAATATTTCCACTGCCAGTCTGTGTGCACATTGCAACAGTATTCTTAGGTGTGAAGAAGCAAAGAGGCCCATTGTGGGCTTGCATGGCTCTTTGCCCTGAAGTGTCTGCCTGCCTGCCTGCCTCCCTCCCTCCCTTACTTCTTCCTCTACGATCCTGGGACACTGATGTGCTTTTAGCTAAAACCCCAGATTTTGGCATTAGCTTGTTTTCACGTTAAGAGGACGCAGGTCTGTGTTCTGAAGGTAATAAACTCTCTGCTCCTAGGAGAAGCATGCAGTGTGGAAGTCCAGGGCTGAGGAAATAGAGAATATTCTCGCAGAGCCTCCAAACTGTCCCGAAAGAGACAGCTCTGTGTAACCGTATGGTGGGCCATAGTATCCTTCCAGGGCAACCTGCCTTCTCTGCCCATGAGAACCTTCAGCCTTTCTGATGTGAATGGCAGCAAGCTTCATCTTCCTCAGCAGCCACTGCCTGTATATGCAGGTGTGTGTATGTGTGCAGGATGGGGTATCCATGTGTGAAGACCAGGGGTCAACCTTGGATATTGTTCCTCAGGAGCCATTCACCTTGTATTTTGAGACAAAATCTCTCACTGGGACCAGGGCCTCTACTGCCTTAGCCTGTGAGACCAAGACCAACCAGTCTCTAGATCAGCGCGAGGATTACAGACACGTGCCTCCGCCCTGAGTGGAGGGACACGCTCCGGGCCTCCCGTTTCCACTGCAGGCACCTCACTGGCTAAGCTATCACCCTGTCACACAGAAGGCTCTATGAAAGTCTAAAGTTAGGCATAGGAGAAGGGCCCATCCATGGTCCATCGTGGGTGGGAGAGGGTTTATGAAGCCCCACCTACCTTAGGAGCCATTGGCAGTTAATGGTTGCTGGGAAGGGAGTCATTTTCTTCTGTGATGTAACTGCTGTTAAAGTTGCCCAGTAAATAACCTCTCATGCTTGCAGCCCTAATTAAACCCTGTGAGTCACAAAAGAAGCCACAAAACAACAACAGAAAACCTCAAATCAACCATGAAAATAGGAGAGAGACCTGTCGGGAAGAAGATTGGCTCAGGAGAGTGGGAAGGGGTGAGGAAGGGTAATGAAGAGGGGATGAAAATGACCAAAATACATTATATGCTCATGTGAACATATCAAAAATAAGATTGAAAAAGTTGTGCTTAAGTTACCATATGCCCAAGTTGGTGCACTCTTAGCTATACTCAATAGAGCTGAAAAATGTGTCCATGCATAACATCATTATTAGTGCTCATAGTAGCACTAATAATCCATACAGCCCAAAGGTGGAGCCAGCTCAGAAATCAGTGGTAAGGTCAAACAGTGGACTATTACTCAGCTCTAAAGAGGTGTGTGCAGGCTACCCCAGGGCTAACCCACCACTGGGCCGCCGTGCTCAGGGCTTTTATGTCATTTTGCTTTGATGAGATGTCCAGGGCAGTAAATCCATAGAGACAGAGAATGGGTTGTGGTTCCCACAGACTGAAGAACTTTTAGGAGATGGAATTTCCTTATCAGAACATGATAAAAGTGTTTTGAATTCGGTGATGATTATTGTACAGTTTAAAGCACTGAATTCCATACTGTAAAGAGGGTGACTTTGATATCTGAAAGTTAGCAATATCACTAATGTTCATATCCACGAGATAGATTATGCCGATTATCCTATTTAATTTCACAGTATCCAATGTGAGTTAGGCTCAGAGGTCAACAAGTGTCACATTCGTTACCAGGCTCTACTAAGACTGCCCTCCTAGACTTTGTGACTGGTTTGAGGGGAGGCATGACTTTCAGGATCCCTTTATGCTTTAAACTCTGTGCACTTAACTCATTATGTTTATGAAGTATTCCATTTTAAGGAAGTTTCCTTCATATTTCTTGTTCTCTTGACAGTTTTCTCAGGTGACAGTTTCCAGTCTTAAGTGTAGGAGGAGGTACATGTATTTGCAATGTCTTCAGAGTCCTGAAGAGGGTGCTGGATCCCCTCTTTGGAATTGGAGTTACAGGCATTTCCATGTGAGCTGCCTGACTTGAGTTCTGGGAACCAACTCAGGGTCCTCTGAAACAGGAGCAGGCGGTTTGCTTTTAACCCATGAGCCAGCTCCCCAGCCTTGGGCTAGGTTTTTGATCTGTAGGATGAAGTTGGTCTTCATCCGTGGCTTCCAGTGTTTGCTGCACTTTGGGAGCTTTTGAAGCCTGTGCTTTCTGGGCTGCATCCAGATCATTTCTATCTACTAGGAAGGAGGGACGTGGTGGGGAGGCGGCAGCTGCGCTCGTCAGGGCCACGGGGACTCAGTTGTGTAGGCATGGTGA